CCCCCGTGCCCCCGTGCCGTGTCACTGGAAAGAGTGACGGCGACAGGGGACATCGCGGGTGGCGTTGCCTTGGGCGGGGCACGGCCCTGGCACAGGGACTTCCTTGTGCGCTGTCCTTTGTCGCGCATCCCCTGTGTCCCCTGTCCCCATTCCCCTGTCCCCGTGTCCGGTCCCCTGTCCCCTGTCCCCTGTCCCCTGTCCCCTGTCCCCTGTGTCTCGTCCCCTTGTCCTCTGTCCCCTGTTCCCTGTCCCTTGTCCCCCATCCCCTGTCCCTGTCCCATGTCCCCTGACTGTCCCTGTCTCCATTCCCCTGTCCCCTGTGTTCTGTCCCTGTCCCCTGTCCCTTGTCCCCTGTCCCTCGTCCCCTGTCTCTGTCCCTTGTGCCCCGTCCCCATTCCCCATTCCTCTGTCCCCTGTCCCATCCGCTGTCCCTGTCCTCTGTCCCCTGTGTCGCCCGCCCCTTGTCTCCTGTCCCTGTCCCCATTCCTCTGTCCCCTGTGTCTCCTGTCCCCTGTCCCCCTGTCCCTTGTCCCCATTCCCCTGTCCCTGTCCCCACCCTGCGGCCCCCGAGGTGACATCAGCCAGTGCGGTGTCATTGCGCTCAAACGCCACCAGGTGCCGCCCTTCACCCAAAAATGCTCCGGGGGGTGGGGGTGGGACCGGCAGGGACCCCTCCCCAAAATCCCCAAAATCCCCAAAAATCCCCAAAATCCCCAAATCTCCAAAATCCCCAAAATCCCCAAATCTCCAAAATCCCCAAAATCCCCGAATCCCCCCGCGGCTGTGACAGAGCTGTGGGGACACGCGGGGACTCCCGTGGGCGCTGCGGGGACTCGGGGGCGCTTCCCACGGGGACATCGGGGGGACCCCCCGGTTTGGAGGGCACGGGGAGGAGACCCCTCAACCTTGGGGGGTCACGAGAGGAACCCTTCCTCCTTTTGGGGGGCATGGGGGGCACCCCAAACCCTCGGGGACCGTCGGGGGTGGTGACAGGACGCTGTTGTCACCCCTCAGAGCCCCCCGGGCACCCCATAACAGCGATCCCTGCCCTTGCCCACTCCCCCAGCCCCCCCAAATTTCCCCCCCTGATCCCCCCCATTGCTGAGCCGACGGATTTGGGGTTCCACAGCCCCCGGCAGCCCCAGCGCTCCCAGTCCCGGACTGGTTGGGGACTGCCCGGACCTGCTCCCCGCTGCAGCGCCGCTCCCCCGCTGCCCTCGCCGGCCTCCAGCTCCCCCAAACCGGCTTTTCCAGCCGCGCTTCCCGCTCCCGGCAGGGGCCAGCCCTGGTGACAGCCTGGCTGGGGACCTGCGGATGTCCCCGTGGCTCCCGGGGACCATGGGAACCCTCCCGGGGAATCCCGGGGCTGGGCTCGTCCTCTGCCCCCTCCGAACGAGTTCCTCAATCCCCGCTTGCCGTTCCCCAGGTTTCGGGGTCACRCTTGGCCTCCCGCTTCCCCTGGGGATTCATCCCAACTTCTGTTTATTTCTGTTTCTATTATTCCTATTTGTTTCTTTTTCTCTTTCTGTTCTATTTCTGTTTGTCCTCTTCCTATTCTTGTTCCTGTTCCTATTCCAGCTTTGGATCCTATTCCTACTCATAATCCTGATCTTCTTATGCATTCCTATTCCTCTTTCTATGTATTCCTATTCCTATTTATTCCCATTCCTATTCCTACTCTTATTTCTATTCCTWTTCCTWTTCCTGCTGCTATTCCTATTCCTATTTCTTTTTCTATTCCCATTCCTATTCCTACTTATTCCTATTCCTACTCGTATTTATATTTTTGTTTCTATTCTTATTCCGATTCTTTATTCCTATTCCTATTCTTATTCCTATTCCTATTCCTATTCCTATTCCTATTCCTATTCCTATTCCTATT